ACCTTTGCATTCCATTCACCAGTAATTATCAATGCATCTTGATTGCATGTTTGATCAATTTCAGAGTAAAGAAGTTGGTGGGATTCAATTTCTTCATCATTGACTTTGATGGTTGGTGAATAAGTTTGAATGATAGTTGGTCTTCCTTACAGGCATATAAATATTATCTATCACAGGCACAATCTATCTTGAAGGACAGACAGTGCTCTCTATGATAGGAACTGCAACAGGAAAAAAAATCTGCATTCAGTTCAAACCTATGTCGTTCCAGGATTAACTATACAGAAGAATCACCTAGTGATATTGTATATGCATTTGTATACATAAGAATCACCTGGGGATCTTGTTAAAAACATAGCTGCTGATTCACTATGGGGTGTGTGTGTGTGTGTGTGTAGTTTGTTTGTTTGTTTGTTTGTTTTTTTAATGCAACCTCTCAGCAGAGGATTCAACTAAAATGAACCCATTCAAAGCCCTGGTTAGCATTCTCATTATTTCCATTCTGTTTCTTCTGTTTCCATTAATCTAACTTCCCTTCCCTACTTGCCTTCTCATCTTGTGAGCAAATGTTGACTGTTTGGTTATGTATAAGTGATTAAATAAGCACAGGTGATGTTTATTTTATACACCTACTTATTAATTGGGGTCCTGGTGTGGCACTGTAGGATAAGCACTGGACTGTTAACCCACCACAAATGCCTTAGAAACCCTATACAGGGTCACTATGAGTCGGAACCGACTCGACAGCACTTAACATCATGTATAATTTGGCTGAAAAATGATCTCTAGGAGTAACTTTAGTGCCAAGTATAAAGGATATTTTAGAGCAGTATTCTCAGGGGTTCCTCTAGTCCGTGTTGGTGTAGTTGTTATTGCTAAGTGCTGTTATGTTGGTTCCAGTATTATAGGTCTGGTCTTTTCTAGGAATTTGAATTTTCCCTCATCAGAATTGTAGGGACACCATCTAGTTCTGGTCTCAGGTTCCTGTGGGCTAAGACATCCTGTGGACTCAATTCTTTGTCTTTGGTTTTCTTCATACTCTTTGCTCCGGATGAGCAGAGGCCAATAGTGTATTTCAGATGGCCACTCACAATCTTTTAAGACCCCGGACAATAATCACCAAACTAGAGTGTAGAATATTACAAACCATGTAGACAAATAGACAAAATTGTCCTGTGAGAATATGGTCCTAAGCCTTTTAACCCAGTAAACGAATCATGTGAGTTATTTGGAGTCCTGGTGTGGCACTGTGGGTTAATGCGCTGAACTGCAAAGTCAATTTGAACGGCAAAGCCAGTGGTTCAAAGTCACCAGCCACTCCTCAGAAACCCTATACAGGGTCACTGAGTCAGAACTGACTCAACAGCACTTTCACAACAGTAAGTCTCTATAATTGTGCCCCCATATGCTTTATTATATGTACATGGATGTGTATGGAGTACTGGTGTGGTGCTGTAGGATAAGCACTTGACCTCAAGGTCGGTTTGAACCGCAAAGTCATTGTTTCAAATTCACCAGCAGCTTTTAGGAAACCCTACACAGGGTTGCTATGAGTTGCAACTGACTCGATGGCACTTAACAACAATGGATATGTACGCAGCACACACAAACACGTGTATACATGTGCCTACAGATACACCTGTAAATGAACATGTACTCACATATTTATCCTTTTGTGATTAACATTTCATTCATCATCATGTCCTCCAGATTCATCCACATTATGTTTCAAGAACTCATTATTATTACTTATAGTTGCATAATATTCCATTGTATGTATTATAAAATTAATCATTCCATTGAATGTATGTATAAACAAATTATCCAGTTAATGGATGCAAGGTTGTTTCCATCTTTTTGCTATTATGAATAGTGCTGTCTTGAACTGCTGTTGTTGTTGTTAAGTGCTGTCGAGTAAGTTCTAACCCATAGCAACCCTGTATAAGGTTTCCCAGGAGTAGCTGGTGGGTTTCAACTGCCAACCTTAGTTCAAACTGACCTTGCAATCTAGCGCATGATTCTGCAGCACTATACCAGGACTCCACTGTCATGAATGATGGTGGTGATGTGCCCTGGAGTCAGTTCCAACTCATAGTGACCATGCATAGGGTTTCCAAGGCTATAGGTCTTTGTTGTTGTTAAATGCTGTTGAGTTGATTCCGACCCATAGCGAACCTGTACAGGGTTTCCAAGGACCCCCTGGGGAGCTTGCATGTCTGACTCCTTAGCCCACAGCACCACACCAGGACTTTAGGGAGTAGAAAGCCTCATCTTTATCCCATACAATGGCTAGTAGTTTCAAATTGCTGACCTTGAGGCTAGCAGCCCAACTTGTAACCACTGTGCTCCTTGCTGTCTTGAATAGGAGAATGTACATATCTATTGAGGGGCACTCTTTTGAAAAATGCTTTATCAACACCTTTGACCAGAGTATGCTAAAAAGAAAACAAAAATATCAACAACTAAATGGTAAACTCCCTGTGTGGAAAATGCTAGGAATGCCTTAACCAATTTATTTTGCCTATAGTTTCTTTGTTATGTATGCACAAAGTTAATATTAATAAAATATTTTCAAAATCTAAAAGCTCATTTGATAATTAGAAAACAGAACTTCTAAGTGATAAAGCATTCTATCATAGTTTGACAACATTTTTTCTTCTGTGCTGCATAAAATAATATGTCTTAACAACTGAGTGTATCTTAAGTTCAATAAAATAGTATGTCTAGGAGAAATGCGAGAGGGATAGAGAATAGAGGCGGATGAGGCAGTGTTTATGGGTAAGAATAGTTTAGATTTGATGACAGTTGCGAATCTTCCAATTCAAGATGCACAAAATGCTCTGAACAAGATAAAACTAAATCCATACCAAGATACATGGTAGAAAAACTGAAGAACGCTATAGATCAAGAGAGAAATCTTAAAAGTGACTAAAGAAAACGGCCATTATCAAAGCAACAAAGAAGCAAATCTGGAGAATAGCTAGGAAAAGGAGTCTAGAAAGCTACATATAGGGTACACAACTGAGCAAACCACTTTGACTAGACCATGGAGTATGTGTGGGGAAGGGAGCTTAAAGAATGGCAATTGGGGCTGAAGTAATTTTTTTCACCTAAGAATCCTTGTGTAATGCTGTAGAATAAGCACTGGACCTTAAAGTCAGTTTGAACTGCAAGGTCAGAGGTTCAAACTCACCAGCCACTCCTCAGAAATCCTATACAGGGTTGCTATGGTTCGGAATTTAGATAGCACTTGTTGTTGAGTCAGTTCTGACCCATAGCGACCCTGTATAGGGCTTCTGAGGAGTGGCTGGTGAGCCTGAAAAGACAGCATTTAACAAGTTATCTTAGGTGCTATAGGATAAGCCATAGATTGCTAACTGTAATGTTGGTGCTTCAAAGACTCTTGGGCGTGCATCACTTTTATTTATTTATTAAAAGCTTTTATTGTGCATTGAGTGATAGTTTACATGGGAGAGCATCAGTATTACACATCATTGCAATTACAATCCCCTCAATGTATCACCATTCAACAGTATTTACTTCTATTCCCTCTGGTTTTTTTTTTTTGATGTACACAAAAACACTCAGGAATATATGTTGTTGTTAAATGCCGTCAAGTCAGTTCCAACCCATAGCGACCCTCTAGAGGGTTTCCAAGGAGCGACTGGTGAGCTTGAACCACCAACCTTACAGTTCAAACTGACTTTGCAGTATAATGCATTAACCCACAGCGCCACACCAGGACTCCTAGGAATATATAAGCGTGTGAAAAACCCAAGGGCACATTGTGCAAGCCTGCCTACTAGCTACCAACACATAGCCTTTCTCTTTCCAGGAGTCCTCAGCTACTCTATCTCTCAATGTCATCCTCTCTGCCTCCATCTCTGGTGTTGTTGCTTCTCTGGATAGGGTCCCACATTCCTCTTGTGCTCTTCTCCCTTGATGGTCTTAGAGTCCTCTGTTCAGGAATGTAAGATTAACTACTCCCTGCTTTCTGTTACAAAATTTCTACCTTTACAGTTAGTCATAACAATTAATCACTGTTAAATCATAAGAATCGTATCCCCATCTCCTTTCACCAGACCTGTCTAGACAAGATGAAAACTATTCAGTGGGGATTCTACCTTCCCCACACTCTGAAACTAAACTCACTCTTGAAAACTTTTTAAGTCAGGTACGTAGTGCCTTTATAGCCTCCCCATTTTAGGTAGCTAGTGTCTAAGTTGACCATCGCTATTAACCCTGTATACAGAGGGGATATGTTTGATCCTTGTTGTGAAGACTCCTTCCCTCTAGGTTGGTATTTTGAGCTACTACATCCATAAATATAGGTCAAGTTCATCAAATTGCAGTAATTTATATTTGTTTCCTTTATCAAATTTTTCTTCCTCTATTTGAATTCTGATCATCAAGCCATCGAAGTTTGGACGTTCTTGTGGAGGCATCACTTCTCTAAAATCAGAAATAAACTGCATATGTAAAGCAGCTATACTTTGCAAGCTAAAAGTTTTCCCTCTTTTGCAGGCTTGATGCATTTCACTTTCACAGCCTGGGCCATTTTTAATCCTGAAGTGGGGGCTGACGTGACACAGCGATCTGCTAGTGATATCAAGGCTGGGGTTCGGCTACTCCCAGCTAGGGCCGGCCCCCACTGAACCCCGCCATTTCTCTTTCTGGTAGAGTCTGGAACCCGAAAAAAGTGTTGCAGAGTGGGTGGGGAGAGATTTACAGGGAACGCCTCTCCGTCCCCCAACCCAGGTTCGCCACATTTAGCCCGCCCCTTCACCCATATTCCCCAATCAATACACAGGTGGGCGGGCTTTTTATGGAGCAGGGACACGATTGGCTCTGAAGTCTCTCCGCCTGACGGTGGGCGGAGTAGCGTGGTGACGTCTCGGCACCGTGTGCAGAGGCGTAGAGTGCGCGCTCCCAGACGCGGCAGCATTAAACGGTTGCAGACGCAGCAAGCTGGTTGTAGTCCTTTTGGTCTTCAACTGAAGCTCTGATCCTTGTGAGGCCTCAGCCGGCTAGACTTCCCTACTTTCCACCCACCTGTAGCCGCGTCGTTGAGACTCCGCCACCATGTTCGAGGCGCGCTTGGTCCAGGGCTCCATCCTGAAGAAAGTGTTAGAGGCACTGAAGGACCTCATCAATGAGGCCTGCTGGGACATCAGCTCAGGCGGCGTGAACCTGCAGAGTATGGACTCGTCCCACGTCTCCCTTGTGCAGCTTACTCTGCGCTCCGAAGGCTTCGACACCTACCGCTGCGACCGCAACCTAGCCATGGGCGTGAACCTCACCAGGTGAGCCCGGGGTGCTATGGTGCCCGGGGTGTTTGGCGGCCCGGCGCTCTCCCCCTCTTCCGCGACCTTTGGCGGGAGTCTCTAAGCCAGGTCTTCATTGGCTGAGGGCGTCCTCCCTCGCCTTCTCATTGGCCTATGGCGCTGGGGGCGGACCCCAGCGGAGTGCGCGGTTCGGGAAAGCCCGCGCTGGCGGCCGCGGGAACCCGGTCTTTCCGCGCCAAAGTCACAAAGCGGGGGTGGCGGGAAAATAACCCAGTTCTCTGCAGTGCGCGGAAAAGGCTTTTCGGAGCTTCATGGTGATTAAATGCCGGTGGTCTTCCATGGGAGACATTGGTCGCGGTGGTCTTTTAACAGAATTATATCGCACCCCAATAAAAACGGATCATACTGTTACCTAGATTGTCCCCAGCCTTTTAATTGTTTTAATAAAGGCCTCATTAAGCATCCTAAGATATTGGATTTAGGGAACCATTTCTCCCATACAAGTGGCTTTTAGCTTTATTGAACGTTACCCACAGGAAGACATTTTGTAGCATAAGGTCGCGAGTTCAAAGCCACCAGGCACTCTGCATAAAAATTGTTCCCATAATGATTTAGGCTCGGAAACCCCAGGGGACAGTTCTCTGCTCTGTAGGGTCTTTGTGAGTAGGATTTCACTGGACGGCAGAGGATAGCGAATATTTCTGTTGTAAATAAAGCTTTTGAGCAATATTAACCCATGTGGCACTGTAGGATAAGCACTGAACTGCTGCTAGCCCTAAGGTCGGTGGTTCAAACCTACCAGCTACTCGGAAACAACTGATTGCATCCCAAGGTGGCTGGACCAACTTCATTCTCAAGCAGTATGTTGGTTCTTTTTTATTTATTTTAATTGCGTTCGAAATCTTATACATTTGAGAAGTTGGTGATGGTTTCACACCTATTGGTTCTGTGTTCTAGCATGTCCAAAATACTGAAATGTGCTGGCAATGAAGACATCATTACACTAAGGGCTGAAGATAATGCAGACACGTTGGCACTAGTATTTGAAGCACCAAGTAAGTCAGACCTTTTACTGAGTTATGCTAGAAAACAACTAAAAGGCAGTATCTGTATTAATGTGCTGGACTGCAAAGTTGGTTTGAACCACAAGGTTGGCAGTTCAAGCTCACCAGCAGCTCCTTGGAGAACCCTATACAGGGTCGCCATGGGTCGGAACTGATTTAACAGCAACAACAGTAGGCTTGTAAAAGTTATATCATAAACTTGCATACTTTTCTTCATCAAGAGTTGGATTATGTGGGGTTTTTTTTGTTTGTTTGTTTTTTTGTAGACCAAGAAAAAGTTTCAGACTATGAAATGAAGTTAATGGATTTAGATGTTGAACAACTTGGAATTCCAGTGAGTATGTTTCTAATTGTTGAGTATACAGTATACATCATTAATTTTAAATTACCAACATAACTTTCTAGAAATATTTCTGCTCTACATTGTACATGTTCCAAAGTGGGCTTTGTATTTGGACTGACATATCATTTTAGAAAACCACAACAGTATAAATATAAAATGGATCATTAGTTGAAATTGTTGCTGTCAAGTATGACTGTTCAAATTGGACTTCATGCATCTTTGTTCTAAAATCTCTAATGCTTAGGTTTTATTAAGAGTATATTTTAAAGCCATTTTAACAGAAATTGCTTAATCTGCATTTATTTTTAAATAATTGGAGTGGTTTAGGAAATTACATGATGATTTTTTTTTTTAACAAAAATAACAATTGTTTAAATGTTCACTTTTGGGGAACTGAAAATGCCAAAATTTTAATTCCCTCCAATTAACCTTGAGTTTTTAAATTAATTCTTATTTATTTATTTATTAGGAACAAGAGTACAGCTGTGTAGTAAAGATGCCTTCTGGTGAATTTGCACGTATATGCCGAGATCTCAGTCATATTGGAGATGCTGTTGTCATTTGCTGTGCAAAAGATGGAGTGAAATTTTCTGCAAGTGGAGAACTTGGAAATGGAAACATTAAATTATCACAAACAAGTAATGTTGATAAAGAGGAGGAGGCAGTAAGTAATTTTTTGGTGATGGTTATATGCTGAGGAGTCGGTTTTGACTTTGTGGCTAACAGTCCAGGTTGTAATCCACTTCGCTAAAAACTACAATACTGTTTACCATTTAGGTGAATTGCTAAAATTAAGGAAAATATTAAACTATATTGAGCTGCATTTCTCAGTAACTGGTTTGATATTGCTGAAAGTTGTGATTTATGAGTGCCGTGTAATTTATAGTTAAACTTGTGAGTTGGGTGTGCAAATTCAGTGCTCTTATCACAAAAGAGTGGTGTGTTAATTAAACCCACATGTCCTAAGGCTTGGAAGAAGACTCCATGCAACTTGGAATGAATTATACCAAATAATAAAATATTGACTAGCACATAAATGCTATTTGAATGTAAATGAATGCCTAAGGAGCCCTCAATTAAACTTCATTTGCTAGTCTTGGTGCTTCAATTAACTAAGTAAATGGGGAACAATAAAAGACTCTAATCTTTGAGATAGGATTAACATCTACTATGTTGTAAGTAAATATTGGATATTATTTTCTCTTGCATGTAGTTAACTCTGATAAAAATAAAGGTAAAATTCAATTTAGATGAAAAAAAAAAAATAGATCTAATAAGAAAAGGCGCAAAGGTTAATTAGGATTTACGAATTGGGCTGCTAACCAGAAGGTCAGCAGTTCGAAACTACCAGCTGCTCCGCGGGAGAAAGATGAGGTGATCTGCTCCCGTAAAGATTTACAGCCTCGGAAACCGTATTCAGGGTCGCTATGGGTCAAAACCGACTCGACGGCACTTAACAACAACAAGAATTTGAAAGCACATTTTTACATACAGGTTGACTCTTAATTCCTCAGTGTACAGTATATTTGGATTGTATGATAGCTCTATGGGAGCAAGGACTTTCTGCATTATACTTTTTGAAAACTGAACAGGCATAAAAATTTTTGAGAAAGTGTAGTATAAGGATGATCCCCAATTGGCCATCTCCCATCTCTACAGTTATCAGATGATGACCAATCTTGATTTGTCTGTCTCGTGAGTTACATTTCTATTCCCCTGCCAACCTTTTTTGTTTTGTTTTAATTAAATAATTTAATCCACATTTTAGTTTGTGTTTAATATATACATGTTAGTACTTTAAACCACATCTAATGTGTCTGAAGGATAAGCACTGGTCTGAGAACCACAGTGTGGTCCAAGTCGGCCAGCCCACTCTGGGAGAATGATGAGGGCTTCTGTTTCTGTGAAATTTTAAAGCCTGGGAAACCCTGTACAGGGTCACTATAATTGGAACCAACTCCGCAGTAATTATTAACAAAGTGTAAGGAAATTATTTGACATTAAGAAATTTTTCAGTGTTCAGATTTCGCTGGTTGTTTCCAAACAGTTGGGAAATGAAGTTTTCAGACTCTCTGTACTTTGTAATTTGTTGGTATGCCTCTTGAATTTTTTTCAATCCATTGGTCCCATTTTCATTTTATCTTATTTCCTTCAATCTTCAAAATTAGTTTCCTGTCACCCTTCAAAAGGTTTTAAAAGTATATTATGAATTAATAGATTGCAACTTTTTGATGTACTTTAAAATGATGAGTTTGTTTTCTCCCTTAGGTTACTATAGAGATGAATGAGCCAGTTCAGCTAACTTTTGCACTTAGATACCTGAACTTCTTTACAAAAGCCACACCATTGTCTGCTACAGTTACACTCAGTATGTCTGCTGATGTACCCCTTGGTAAGATAATAAATTTGTCCTATCTTGGGTTTTAGGTAGCTGTGATACTCTTCAATAATTAACTATATTCCTGTCTTTCAGTTGTAGAATATAAAATTGCTGATATGGGACACTTAAAGTACTATTTGGCTCCCAAGATTGA